ACCAGCCACTCCTCGGAAGGAAGGTTGGGCAATCCTACTTCCGTAGTGATACTGCCTCTGAAACCCAAGGAGGGGTCGCTATGAGTCGGGGCTGACTCGACGTCACACAACAACAACAACAACATAAGACTCAGCTTCTGAAGAGCATGGAGTATGCATTGCCTTCCATTTTATCCTTGGTGACTAGCACGGTGCCTTTCTGTCATTAAATACCTGTTGAGTGAATACATACATGGCATACCTGCATGGGGAATGGATGGCTGTCCTTAAAATAATCCTTGGCATATTGTTACTTAGAATTATTTTCCAACATGTGGAAATGCAGTAATTCTAATTTGTCAGACTCTTACTTATGCTGATACCTGTTATTGTTAATGTATTTCCTTGTAAAATTGAGTGGAAAACTGGCAGTTGGTAAGATGCATAGGTTTTTTTTTTAGCCTAGGAAATACACAATAGGGTTAGCACTACAGAGTGGTAAAGCTAGTAGGAGACCACAAGATGTTTCCTAGGTTATGAAAGTGATGTGTTTTCCTTAAAATCAGCTAAAAGGTAGAGAATGCAGACCTTGTACCCCAGAGTTCATTAAGGTTCAGTGAATACAAGAACTGGTTTCTGACAAAAGTTTTAAACTCTCAGAACAAGCTAAAGTTTTTTTCAATATGAAATAGGTAGCTTTAGTGCCGCACATTTCTTGATGTTAATGTGCCTTTTATCTGTCATATTTTCCCTTTGTTGATCTTCAAAGATACATTGACGTGGGTAAAAGGTGAAAAATTGTCCTTGCTGGCTGTAGAGAAACTTTGACAGTAATTGATAGTTCAATAAAATGAATGAGCTTAAATAGAAACACAGAGTTCTTTTTTAAAAAACTTTTTATTGTGATTTGGGTGAAAATTTACAGAGCAAATTTGTTTTCCATATAGCAGTTCATAACACATAGTCTCATGACATTGACTGCAATTCCCCACAGTGTAACAGCTCTTTTCCCACTTCCTATAGTTACTTCTTCTCTGTGTCTTTCCTTCCCATGCACTCTTTTTATTTTTTTTTTAAATGTGATTTGGGTGAAACTTTACAGACCAAATTCATTTCCCATAAAGCAGTTTACATACACTTTGTCTCATGACATTGACTGCAGTTTCCCACAATGCAGCAGCTCTCTTCCCACTTCCTCCCCATAGTTACCTCTTCCCTGTGTCCTTTCCTCCCATGCACCCTGCCCTACGAGCTGTCTCCCTGTGCATACACAGCCCTTCTATTCTTCCATGATTGATCTCTCCAAGACTCTAAAAAGTGTATCTACCTCATGTAAACATTCAGCTCATATGCCTGTCTTTTGTTTGGCTGGAAGCTACAGGAGTGGGTTCAATTCCAGATCTAAAGTGCAGCTAGGGACCATAGTCTCAGGGGTATCACCAGGCTCTATCAGATCCTGGTCTTTTTTTAAAAACAATTTTGAGTTTTGTCCCACATTATTCTCTCACTTTATCCAGGATCTCCTATATAGATCCCCCTCTGAGTTGTTGACAGTGGTAGCCGGGCATCATCTAGTTTCTTCTGGTCTCATGGTCATTTAGGCTGAGGATAACATGGTGTACCAGTCCCTTGACTGATTGTTTCCACATATCTTTGATTTTCTTCGTTCTTCTTTGCTCTGGATGAGGAGAGAACCCATCGTTGTATCTAGATGACCACTTATAACCTTTTAAGATCCCAGTTGCTACTCACCAAAGTAGGATGTGGAACAATGTTTTTGTGTGTAGTATGTTATGCCATTTGAGCTTGATGTCCCGTGGGACCATGGTCCTGAGCCCAGAGGTCCAACTACTTGCTCCCTTGAGGTAGCTGGCTATGGCCAAGAAGTCACTACAGTCTTGTGCCTTGTCAGTTCTACTATATACCTGGACATTCTTACAGCGTGTACAAATACACTTGTAGAAACAGTGTCTGCCAACTGTATACATCGTCATGGGCACACTTCCCCCTGCCTAGACATACCTGATCGTTGAACTTGTCAACCCATCTATCCATCTGTAGATCAATGTTTGCCATCACTGACAACACAGTTCTATGTATGCAAAAGAGTTCATCTTTGTTGTCTGTACTTCCCACGTACCTCTGTCTTCCTCTTCCTCCGTGCCATCGTATTGATCATGCATATTTGTTACATTGCCCTTTCCTTCACCCAAATCCATACTTGTCTTTACCTGTCTAGCAGTGTTCCCTCTCCTCCCCACCTACCCGTGGTAACCAACAAAGAAAGTTTCTTCCATATGTAAACCTTCCCTTGACTTTTTACAATAATGGACTAATACAATATTTGTTCTTCTTTGATTGACTTATTTCACTGAGCATACTATCCTCCAGTTTCATCTAATGTTTTGTATATTCTGCATCATTCTTTAGTGTTGCATAGTATTCCATTATGTGTATGTATCATAGTTTGGTTATCCATTCTTCTGTTGATGGGCACCTAGGTTGTTTCCATCTTTTTGCTATTGTAAATTGTTAAAGTAGTTAACATGTTGACTGAAGATTGATATTCTGAACACTTAGTGATACTTTCTTTAATATTTCATATTTTATAAATATTTAATGCTGATAAAACTTTAAACAGGACACCATTTAGTATCAGAATGGTACCTATGATGAATTCTAATAACGAGTAGACAAATGCTTATTAATATCAGGAAGAGCTGAATGGTACTCTTGGTGTATTTATTAATGTTTTTTCAAAAAAAGGTAAGTGTATAAAGTCCCCAGTACTGTGCTCCCCTGACTGTCTTTAACACTCTCCCTTCCCATACACAGTATTCCTCAGAGGTTGCTCCTACTAACAGTTTGATATGTACCCTTCAAGACATTTTCATAATATTAAATTATGTTCATGTCCACATATTTTTTCAAAATACAAATGGGTCTATTCTTTACAGCTTGCCTTTAAAAAAAAAAAAACAACATATGCAAATCTTTTACTGATGGCATACATTTTCCTTTTGAGGATGAAGAGTGTTTGATGATATCATAATTTATTTAACCATTTTTAATGGAGATTAAACTTGCTTTCTTCATTTTCATTTTTGTAACTGTCAAGATAAATTGAAATCATAGTGATCCTAGTCCATTAAATACATTTTCTTTCTTTCAAAATGATGCATAGGTAGTAACCGGACACCATTTGTTTTCTTCTGGTGTCACAGTCATGGAGGCTGGGGTTCACGTGGTCCATTTGTCCTTTGGGCTAATTGTTTCCTTGTATCTTTGATTTTCTTCACTCTTCTTTGCTCCTGATGGGGAAAGACCAATAATTGCACTTTAGATGGTATTTTGGTTACCTAGTGGTGCTCTAACAGAAATACCACAAATGGGTGGCTTTAACAAACAGGGATTTAGTTTATTCTCTTCAGTTTAGGTGGCTAGAAGTCCAAGTTCAGAGTGCCAAGCGCTAGGGGCTCAATGAAGGCACTTCAACCTTGGGCTTTAGCTCTGCCTCTTGCTTCTGGCCTACTGGAGCTGGAGGCATCTCTTCACTTAGGCAGCTGCTGGCTGCTGAGGCTGACAGACCCAATGTTGACAGATAAAATGGCACAAACCAAAAAAACCAAACTCATTGCTGTATAGGCTATCCCGACTCATGGCCACTCCTCCTGGGGTTTCCAAGGTGGTATCTCTACAGAAGTAGATTGCCCAGTCTTCTTTCCAAGGAGTGGCTGGTGGGTTTTAACCACCAGCCTTCTGGTTAGCAGTCAAATGCCTTAGGCATTATGCCACCAGTGCTCCCATAAGTCCCTGGATTACTAAACAACATGGCAGGCCACTCGTTGAAGTCCAGAGACAGTCCCAGTTATCGGTAGGAAACATGGCAGGCTACTGAATGAAGAGTTGGCTACATGCAGGGTCCATAGTGTGCCAAAGAGCTGCAGAGACTTTTCTTAGTGTTTACTTACTGGAAGCAGACTATAGCTGTAAGGCTCAGCTGCTCACTATAGATTTCACCATGGAGTTGATTACCATTCTCGTCATAGAGAATAACTACATCCAGCTGCCCAGCCAAGTTGACACATCCCTTCACTACCACAGATGGCCACTCACAGGCTTTTAAAAACCCCAGTCACTGCTCACCAAGTGTGATGTAGAACATTGTTGCCGTGTACTATGTGATGCCAATTGACCTTGGTGTTGTTCCCCGAGACTATGGTTTTGAGCCTCCAGGCCCAGCAACTCATTCTCTCGAGGTGTTGGTTATGGCAAATAAGTTTTTATCTCTTTACCCCCTGTAGAGAACTCTGGTAGAATAGTGACTAAGGCACTTGACTGCTAACCAGAAGGCTGGCAGTTCAAACCCACCAGCCACTCCTTGGAAGGAAGATTGGGCAATGTACTTCCGTAGTGATACCACCTCAGAAACCCAAGGGGAGGGGTCACTATGAGTTGGGGCAGACTCGATGGCACGTAACAACAATGACAATGCTAGATACATTTCAAGCCTAGAACTGAATTCACCCCCATGGTTCAACTCTCTGCCAAATGATAGATAGGCCTGTAAGATGAGCAATAATACCAGGGAGATACACTCTTAGAACAGTCAACCATACAAGATCTAAAGGGCAGCATGTGCCTAGGGATAAAACTCAGAAGGCAGGGAGGTATAGGAAAGAAGGAGAAATGGTAAACACAGGAAGAAAGTGGAAAGAGGGCTGTTGAGTGGGGATTGCAGATTTTTAATTTAAATTTGTATTTAATTGGCATAGGAATATATAATCTGTGTTCGATATCCTCAGTAGGGACGTGAAAAGTGAGCTAGGTTTTTTATTTTAGAGGAATACTATCTTATTTTATTGCAAAAGTATTTTAATTTAATATTTTAATTTTAAGTTATAATTCACTCTTGAAATTTAAACCACTTCTTGTGCTACTGTATGCTGAAAATAAAATTTCTCTCCTCACCTTTCCTTTTATGGAATGTTAAAAATATTAAACATTGTATATGTTTTATATTAACTACAGTATGTTCCTTTTTATAATAGATAATAGTGTTAAGTACAGTATATGTGTAATGAAAGATGCTTTTTCTTTTAGTGCCCTTGTTACCAGTTCCAAGCCAGCCAAGACCTGCTGTAGGACCCCAGAGATTCCCAGTGAGTAGCAGCTGTTCTTTCTGCTGTGATATGGATAAGCATACATTTACAAAGAAATATTAATATCGCAAATACATGTGGTTCCAGCTAAACATAATTTTAAGGATTTGTAAATATTGACAATTATCTCTGCAGTTGAAAATGTTTGTTAAAAGCTTAAGGTCAATGGATTTTTGAGAATGGAATTAATTTTGTTTAACTGTAAAATTGTTGAATCAGAATCATAAGTAGAATGCCTTTTATCTTAAAGAATATGGATTTTCATTTTATTACTGCCTTCTTATGTTAAGTGCAAAAGGTCCCTGCTTTATTACAGGGTATATGTGTGTGTAGGTATGTGCGTGAAATTCTAGGGAATAAAAATGAGAGCTTTACTTGTTTTTAAAAAAAATTCTTAGAAATTTTAATGAACCATTGTTGTATATTTTAAAATGGAGGATTTCTTTTTTAAAATATATTTAAAAGAAAACACCACAATATACTTTGTTTTTCTCTCTCCTTATCTCCCTCCCCTCTCTGTCTCCCTTCTCTTTTACACATATGCACGCTTTCTATAATTTCATCCATTTTCCTAACATGTAAATAGAAGAATGTCAATTAAATAATTTTTAAAAAACTTTGAATTTATGATTAGTTTATGGTTTTATTAAATGAAGACATGTTCTTTTTAAAAACAATGTTCAAAAATGGGCCAGACCATAAAATTCTAATGTCATTTGTATAAAAAACAGAGGTAGTTTTGTTTCATATAATCAGGTATAATCAGGTGATTATCAAAAAGTAAAATCACTATGTTGTTGTTGTTATGTGTCATTGAGTTGGACCCAACTCACTGCAACCCCTCCTTGGGTTTCCAAGGCTGTATCTGTACAGAAGTAGATTGCCCAATCTTCTTTCCGAGGAGTGGCTGGTGGGTTTGAACTGCCAGCCTTCTGGTTAGCAGTCAAGTGCCTTAGGCATTGCGCTACCAGAGCTCCTAAAATCACTATAGAATTTTAAAGTCAGATAATTTTTTAAAAACTTTCTTCATATGTAATTATTTATGAATTATGTTACAGTTTAAAATTGGTTCGTATTGATTTAATTTCCTTATATTTAGCTGTTTTTTAAAATTACCAAGTTTTAAAATTCATTTTTTAAAAAAACTAGGTGATATTTCTTGAGTAGCAAGCTCTTTTGAAGCACTTATTCAGATAACTAAAGTTTACTAATTGCATTACTCATGGATAAGCAAATATGATTTTCATAATTAGAAACGTTTCTTTTGGTGAAGTAGTTTATCTACTAGCTTTGAAAAGCATTAACATTTTAAGGAGCATTAACATTTGAAGTACTTCTATTTCTAATGATTATGAACATCTGTGTTAAAATCATTAGTGAAATTGCTTTCATGTTTTATTTGTGTTATAGGGATAAAATTTGAAATGAGAAAAGCAACTGTAATTTAAGGAATTAAATGTAATTTCAGGTAACAGATATTTTTGTAAAAATGTGTTTACTGATAGAAAATTTGAATAGTCACTTTCAGTTCTCATCTATTTTTATTTGTCAATTGTGCAATATAATTGTATCTGATACCAGAAGGAAACTTCGTGAGTGAGTATATTACAAGAGAATTATAAAAGTTTTTGTGAGAAGTTGAACTTACTTTTTTTTAAAGTACATGGTATTCTGAAGTTGGTAAATATTGTTGAACTGCCTTTTAAAAAGTTTCTACAAGGCATACTTTTTCTTTTGTTTTTGAGATGGGTGGGTGATTGGAAAAAGAGTTGGGCTAGAAATTAGCATGTGTGTGATATATAACGTGAGTAGTGTTATCTTCAACTCAGGTACTTACCACTGTTTTGTATGTATTTTTCTTTAAGCCCTAAATACTAGATCTTAAATTGAAGTTACAGTGAATTTGTTGATTTAAAAATGCCTACTCATTTCTGCAATCAGTTTCCCTTAAGGAAAGTAATCAAATGTGGAATCTGTTTTTTTTTAAAAATACATGCAGAGGTCCATTTTTTTTTTTAATGTCAATCAAAATATTGTTGGAGGGAGGGAGGGGGAGGGAGAGAGAGAAAGGGAGAGAGAGAGAGAGACTGTTTACAGGCAGGCCTTGACTTAGGATGTATTTGAGTTACGATGAACCACTCTTTAAGACTGTCTGCTTTTGTTTTTATTGTTTTTTGTACATCTTACCAGAAGTAAGATGTACCACACGTAGTGTTGCAACATTTACTAATGTTATCATTTGCATATGTTCACTTGCAGGTGTTGAAAGATGAAATTTATAAAGATACTGATAATAAAAATCAATGATAGTGAAACTTTAAAAAAATAAATAAAGGTATTCAAGCTGCCTTCTGTCTTTTTACTTAAGCCTTTTTTGAATAAAATTATTTTTCTTTTTCTACTACAAGATTCAGCTTAGTTGTCAATGTAAATTTAATCTTGTAAACATTTAATGAGGATCGACTACGTGCCGAGTGCTCTGTGTAGTTCTAATTACTAAATTATAAAATGATCTAGGCATTATTAAATCAAATATAACTTACATCCTTAAACTAAATTTCATTGGAGTAAATTATAAAAATAGTGAAGACAGTGTTGTAGTTTATCACAGCTCTTTGGTAGTTCCTTATTGATGGTTTCATGCTTTTTTACAGGATCTCAGTGCTTTCCTGTAGTAGGGGTTCAATAAATAATTTGTGAACAGAATTTGGTTTCTTAAGATGACTACACACACAGGCACACACACACACATACATTTATAAAACATTCAAGTTTGGAGATTGTCTTAGGGTCTGTTTGAATCAGTGTACTTCCTTCGTATACAAAAGTAAGATTTGAATTACAGAAATCTCTTTGCCAATTTTCATGAAATCGGCAATTGGGCAAAGTAAGGTCTTTCCCCCAGCTTAAAACCCTTTAATGACTCCCATGCTCTTATGATAGATAAATTATTCCTGTTAAAAGCTCCATACATTGTGCATGTACAGCTTATTCATATCAGAGTTGTAAGTTTACTTGTATTTGGGTGATTATTTGATTAATGTCTGTAGATAAACTTCATAGTTGCAGAGTCCCATCTTGTGCTCAATGTTATATGCCTAACATTGGGCTTGTGTATAGAAGGTGAATATGAATATTGAGCTATGTGATTTACTAGGAACCCTACATAATGTACAGAAAAGAAGTGTATTTTCAGTGTATATATATACACATACATATATATGTATGTGTGTGTGTATATATATATATATATATATATATATATATATATATACACACACAGACACTACTAATTTTCAAGAATACATAATTGAATCTGCCCAGTAGCGTTACATTATGTACAATTATTTAAAAAATAATTTATTTTTTTTGTTATTTTTGAGAGTATACACAGCAGAACAAAACCAAAATCTAACCCACTGCCTTTGATTCAAATCCAACTCATAGTGACCCTGTAGGACATAGTAGAACTGCTCCACAGGGTTTCTAAGACTATAAATCTTTCCAGAAGCAGCTGCCACATCTTTCTCCCATGGAGCAGCTGGTGGGCTCAAACTACTGACTTTTTGGTTCGCAGTGGAGTGCTTTAACTACTGCACCACCAGGGCTCCTGTACACAGTGAAACATACACCAGTTCAACAGTTTCTACATGTACAATTCAGTGACATATGTAATGTACATTTAACTATACATAAAGTCCTTGGGTTACAAACATCCAGCTTACGGACTTAGAGTCAATCCCTACTTGCCTTTTAATGCCCTCGCTTTGAAATAATTGAGGCAGTCCCCTACTCACTATAAATTCTTCATCACAGTCACCTTCACATGCTGCGTGTGCAGCTTTTAAATCATTGGAAAGTCTTTAAGGCTTTCTTGCACTAAATGAAGGCTTAATAAAAACCACATGCACCTATTCCAGCAGAGCTACAAATTCAACTTAAAGACACTTAGGGAGAGATGTGATTTGTAACCTGGGGACTGCCTGTATAAGAATTTAGCTGCATCCAACTCACTAAAAAGAAAAAAAAAAGACAATAGACAGAAATACCCCTAAATTTCTGATTTTTAAAAGGAACTAGGATAAATTTGGTATCCATTTTAAAGTATTCCTTCTCTTCGTGAATAGTGGTAAACTTCTTTAAAAGTCAATTTTGAGCAATTTGAACTATGCCTAGAAAATCATAGAGAACTCTCGGTAACATAATACAAGATACTATTTTTGTAGCATTATTATTTAAAGTTTTTTTTAAAAAAATCAAATCTTAGGGCAAAATATGATATTCTACACTATGCTTGATATAGCAAGACTAATATTTTTATTATGGTGGTGCAGTTGTTAAGTGCTTGGCTGCTAATTAAAAAGTTTGTGGTTCAAACCCACGTGCCACTCCACAGGAGAAAGATGTGGCAGTCTGCTTCTGTAGAGATTGACAGCCTTGGAAATCCTATGGGGCAGTTCTGCTCTTGTCATATAGGGTCATTATGAATTGAAATTGACTTGACAGCAGTGGATGAGTTAGTGAATATTAGAATTGAATACACATTTTTTAAAATAAAAGTTTGAATGTTAAAATGATAAATTTGTGAAAAGAAAAAGGATCCTTTTTTTTCCATTTTGGAAAATTTTTATTTTAACTCTTGGAGCTTTGTCCCATCAAGTTCTTTGGTAATGTTAGGCACTGTGTTAGGATAGCATTTCTTCACATATTCATGCATTTAAAGAATTCAGTGAAACATTTTGTAATGTAGGTTTACATTTAAAATTTAAGATTCCTCTATTTAATTTTAGTCACAGATACAGGTATTATTGTTGAATTCTGAAATAGTTTTTGCTTTTTGATTCCCAGTAACTATTTTATTTTTAATTGATTTTTTTCAAATCTTGTATCAATTGATAGCACATCAGCTCATTGCTATTGAGTCAAAATCAACTCATAGTGACCCCTCCTTGGGTTTCTGAGGTGGTATCACTATGGAAGTAGATTACCCAGTCTTCCTT